CCGCCCGAGTGCAAATTTCGCGTACGTCTGCCGGTAATGCTATTAGCGTGCGTCGCTAACACGTCGCGAAAAGTTCGTTCTCTTCTCGCGAAAGGCGGGTTAATTCGATTAAAACTCATGTGTGTCCTCCCCTTCCGTAATAAAACTGCTGACACTTTTAATATGTCAGTGTGGTATACACACATGTGCCCCTTCTTTTCTAATAACAATAACTCACCGAAATGCGCTAAGAAAAAGTTGCGTGGCGCGGTTAACAAAAGATTTATAATCTCTCGGCGCGGTGAGATTGAAAATTATGAGTTTTCTTCACTTGTAACGCGCGAGATAACGAATAAAAGGTGTATATGTAACACGTTCCACACATCATAACTGATAACATGACGCTCCCCACAGATATCGCGATAGCTCTCACGCTGCCGCGAGAGATTAAAGAAAAAAAAAAAAAAAAAAAACAGACGTTTAGCATAACGCGCGAGATAACGAATAAAAGGTGTATATGTAACACGTTCCACACATCATAACTGATAACATGACGCTCCCCACAGATATCGCGATAGCTCTCACGCTGCCGCGAGAGATTAAAGAAAAAAAAAAAAAAAAACAGACGTTTAGCATAACCCGTGAGTGGGAAAACCGTGTTAATTATAAAGCGGGGCGCGCGCATAATGTGCAGACAGCCGAGCACGTGAATGATGCGCGTGAAGCGCATATATAGGACTTGGTGTAAATAATGATACAGTATTATTTACGCTACCGGTGCGCTGTGCGACGTGCAGTGACGTAATTATACTGATCTAATTGCGCTTCGCGTCTGATGCGTGTCGCGCGCGCACGCGCGTGCAACATGAAACAAGAATTCGCGTATAATATGTTGTACACGTATATATGTATTATCTATGATTTAGTCGCGACATTATCTTGCCCTTTCATCAGTCATTTTGCAATAATCGAGATATCAAAGAATTCAGCGCCGCCTCGCGTGTTTTTTCCCAGCGTCGTTCATCACGACGACGATAGGCAAAGACGTTGTTGAAAAAAAAAAGAGAGAGAGATGCGTCTTCGTATAAATAAAAAACGATTCGACGCGCAGCTCACAGGGAGGGAGGGAGGGAGGAGCACGACAAATGCATGCGTGAACGCGCATCAGCCGTGAAACATAATCGAGTTATCGCATAAAATGTAGTCCCGACTGTCGCGACCAGGTCGTAATTCCCTTTTGGAATCCGCTGAGGACGCATAACGCCGTTTGGATGCGACAAAAAAAAAAAAAAAAAATGGGTACACGCGCGGAGATACATTTTCCCGTCCGGCGATTTCGGCTACTCCCACTCTTTTTCATCATTTAAACATACTGCAATAGCGATATGCAGAATGTTGTTAGCCCGTGGCGCAGAGTTGTGTGTACGCAGAGTTATACAGAAGAAAATGTTCAAACGTAATAAAAACGGGTCATACACATACTACGATATGAAATCATGATATACTATCCCCGAGTTCGATGAAACACACGCGCTTGTAAAATGTGTGTCAAAAAGTTTGTTGTTTATCCAACAACACGTATCCACAACACATTGTACGCGCGGTAAAATATTGCTCACACATGAGGAAGAGAACGATATAATTTGCGTCAATTTAAAACGTAACGGTATAAATACGTGAAAACAATTCCTGTGTGTATGTATGTATTTATTTGTTCAACGAAACATTTTATTGTTCGACAAAACAAGAACACAACAATGGGGATCGATGCGTTCTCTCTTCTTCCTCTGTTTATCGCGTTGGGAATTAAACACAAAGATCTTCTAGTTTGCGCGAAAATGTGGTGTGCTTGTGTCTTATCGACAGCTGTAATCTGATATCGATTTCGTGAAATTTCGCGTCGCGTTTTCTCTCTGTGGGCTTTTCTAGATTTATACACTTGCTTCGTCGAAAACTAAAAGTAAGAATGCCGCGTCGACACATCGTTACGTGTTTCAACGCCAAGACGATCTTGTTTTTTTTTTTTCTTAATATTTATCTTCCCGGTCTCTCTTTAAATTCGAGAAGGAAGGTTCTTCAAAGAACTACTACCTTTTTTTATTTTTTATTTTTACACGGAGCACGCATTTGCGTGGGCGAAGTCCGATACGACGAAAAATTTTTTCCCCCTCTTCGAAGTAAGATAAAAGCACCGCCATTTCGACGGTGAAGCACGATCGGACGCGGGAAACGCGAGAGAAGAGAACGAACGAGAATCGGAGAACGGCCTTTGGGAATCGATACTTTCGACGTCGTTCGAAAGCGATGCCTTTCGAAACGAGTTACTTCTGGCTCTGAGTTTCTTCGCAAAAATTTTCCCGGTATTGTGTTCCACGGTAATTGGGTACTTTCGGCCTTTTCCCGGTCGAGGTTTCACCGAAAATAGCGCTCGCTCCGGTGAGAATCCGTTCGGAACTTTTTTGCGCCGAGTCTTTGCTCGATCCGGCGCGCCAGGAACGAACAAACGAGCGAGAGAGAGAAAATGAGAGAGAGAAAGAGATAAGAAGAGGACGAGAGAGAACTGATTTCGCTTAACTCCTTTTGCGCGGAAAGATGAAGCTATATACATATGAGAGAACATATAACTATATATAACTATATATAACTGTATGATTGCGAATTCGCAGGAAGGCAAATATTCGATGACAAAGACGATCCTTCCTTCGAACGTTTCTCAATATTTATTTTTGTGCTCCGACCGATACGCCGGATTTTCGTACTTTCCGCGCTACTACAGATCGCAATCTAAGACGAAAATGCAAATCCATACGAATACGAGAAAAGTACGTGCGTGTAACTGTGTGTGCATGTGTAATATATATTGCGCGTATAGATTCGTAGATATGATACCCGCGGTATGTACGTATATATATACGCGACGGCGGTATAGATACCGCGTGAAATGCGAATAAACAAATAGATGATAGATAAGAGCGGATTTGAAAAGCGATAGAGAACTCTCTCGCGCGGATGAGCAGTCTTGTTCGCGCGGGATCGCACTACGATCATCGAGGGAGAGAGTTTCGATCGAGACAGGGGAAAAAAATGGGAGATCCGCGCGCGCGCGCATGGATAATTTGTACGTTGTAATGGTATCGCGCCGTTTTTCAATAATGTAAAGAAAGAGGCGCAGAAAGAGGACTTTCCGTGTTCGTTCACCTTAACGCTGCGGGAATAATTTAACGTGACCTCCGCCGTCTCTCTCTCTCTCTCTCTCTCGTTATTGACGTGCCACTAACGCGGTAATGGATTCTTACTTAATGATGAGACCCGTTCGGATTTCTGCCAACAACCTATCGAAATGGCGAAATAGTTCAGCATCAAACCTGTACACATCAAACCTACCGAATCGGAGCTTTCACGTTGGCTATAATGATTCACGATGTTTCGAGAGAACACACCTCATTTGCGTATATCGGAAACAATACGTCGTAATGTAACGCGATATTTTTCTTTCTTTGATCTCGCGTAAAACTTTTCTCATTTCGCGTATCATCACACGTTACGCCGAGGATGTTAAAATACAGCGATTTTTTTTTTTTTTGCAATTATCGGATATAACGGATTTATACATGTGCGAGATAACAGTGAGGCAAATGCTCTTAGCAAAAGCCGTGATCTATATTGCGTCTGTGAATAATGCGTTTTTATTTGCCTCAGATTTTGAACGATAACATTTCCCGCATTTTTTTTTTTTTTTTTTAAATCCGATATATCGGTCTGTATCAAATTGATATTGCAGAATTTAATCAATGTGTGACGCATCTTGGATCTAATCTCTCTTCCGTCTCTGCTCTTCTCTGTCTACACTCCTTAGCTACCGTCTGAAGAGACCGCCTGTCTCTTCGCCGGAGACTCAGACGACTAGCTTAAACCCAGACCGTCGTCGTCGTCGTCGTCGTCGTGTAGAAGAACAGCTGTGGTCTTTTTAACTTGGCGCAACTGCATATCATGTGTCGGACACAAAAATTCAAGGAGCCGCGGTAAAAGCTAATGCTTCTACACTTACCCTCTCTCACTTGCTTTGACTACACGCAAGACAGTCCCGATTTAACCTTCGTCTCGTCTCTTGAAACATAGATCTTCCGACGAAAACATTGGCGCCGATACTTTCGAGACATCAACGAGCTCTCTCCGCTTGATCGAAACTTCATCTTGGAGCATTGTAACTTTTGCAAAATGCATTATCGATGAACACACCGAGCTGTTTACTTCTACGAATAGTTGCTGCGGTGGAAATAAGTAAATTCGCGTTCGCTTTCCGCGGCAATCGCTCGGATAAATTAATTAAAATTCAACGTTTGGCAGCTTGTTTAAATGCGCATCTATAATAAGTTTAGTTAAGATAGATCCCTAAAAATGCGATTACATTTAATGAAATACGAGATGTATCGCGAAGCATATTTATAAAATAATTTGTTTTTGTTTCTTTGCGCAGACTAATTTTTTATTTTTCTTATTGGTTTTGAATAAGTCTTCAAATTGCCACGTCATTTTTATGATGAAGCACTAAATCTTTTTCGCACGCGCAATTATAGCTCCCGACGCCTATGTTGCGAATTCTTGTAGTGTCTCGCTAAAAATACATGCTTCTCATATTTGTATCCGTCTGGAGTGGCGCAAGGTCATTGATCTTGATGCGCAGACGTGCAAGTTGATTTTTCTCTCTGCTGACGAGAACAATATTGTCAGTATCGTCGTGTATAACGATTAAATAATCTCTGTCGATCATTTTCTCTATCCGACTTTATTACGACTTTATTTCCGGGTAATTTTCGCGTGTTTTAACTTTTTTTTTTTTTTTACATGACAAAAAAGAAAATAATCGAGTTAAATGAAATTTAATGTATTTGATGAAAACGAGATATGGTATGTAGAACAGTCTCATTGGTTATTTTTACACAAACGTTTTTTCAACTTTTAAAATAAAAGCTTTTATTATTATATATTGTTTTAACAAACGTTTGTACTTTTGTTTTTAGATCACCAGCGAGTTTTTCACGTCCGGTCACTACAAAATTCTGCAAAACAAACAGGTAAGAACGTGATAAAAAGCGGGAGTTGTGTTGGGTTTTAAGTAATCGCGCCATTTTCTCCAAAACCAGGGAATAACCAGATGTTGCTGCGCGTTATGGAAAATACTTTGATACTTGTCGTGTATATATATAATTCACGTGAAGAATAATGTGCGAATGTTGTAGACACATTCGCGAGATCGTCGCATTAAAATTTGTCCGCGAGAACCGGCACGCGCGCGCCTGTATCGCAAAATGGCTTATGGGTACGGTTTTGGTCTACCAAGAGTGTAGCTCTTCTCCCCTTCAGAACAATAGGTGGATGCAACGCAGGGTTCTCCGAATACGCTTTAACCAGATTACATACTCCGGATTGCGAGAACCGCGCCGTTTTATGTATATACACGCACGCGCTATAATTGGAGAAATACTCGTGCGAGCTCCAGGCAAAGCCGCTTTACTTCTTATCCGCGCAGTGATTCTGGGCAAATTATTGGATCTCTGTGCAAAAGGACTTTTACATTAATTATGATAATATCCCATTAACTAATATATGCGTCTATATTGACGGCATGTTTTATTCATTCGATACGTGATGACGTGTTTTGTACGCGGGCTTTAAATATTCATTTATGTATATCTAATTGACCACACATGGAGACTTTCCCTTCCCGGAATTTAAAATCGGAAAATTAATAAAGAATTAAAAATTATTAATATTGCATTACACAAAAATACATTTAAAAAAAAATATCACATTATCTTGTAATAATCCGCGCTTTATTAGGCGGAAAAAGAGAGAAAGAGAGACGTATTCGAATCTGTTATTGTTGTTGTTGGGATACTACAACCGGTTACACAAATGTACAATATATCGACGAGGAAGGGCGAGTAGAGGAGATTGGACAGAGGGAGAGAGAGAGAGAGAGAGGGAGAGATTTAGCTGCGCTAAAATTATTAGCGCAATATCGGATTCTGCAAACATCCGGTGGTTCTAGCACATTAATGGTATTATTATTTCATAATGCTTACGCGCTTGACAGCGAACGAAATCTGACTATGATATTTCGTTTATCGATATATTCTTTATCTCTCTTGTTTCTCTTCTCTTTCTGTTTTCATATATTTCATTTTTTACGAGCAGTCGATCATAAATTTTTCCAAGTGCGTCGTGAATGCCTCCGGTGAAGGGCTACTTCACCAGCTTGGAAAACACGTAACACGATCGAGTTACTCGAGTTGCGAGCGAGCAAAGTGCGTAAATTCAACTCTTTATCATCACGCTACGTTCTTAAATAGGGAGGGACATAATCATCAAAGCGAGAGGGCGAATATTGCAAATAACACAGTAATAATAATATACGTGATGAAAACAATGTGCTGTTAACTATTTCATGGACCGTGCGTTAAACGTGGGTTTTCGAGAATGAGAAACAAAGTGTAAGAGAGGACGGAAGATCTTATTTATTCAAGAGAAAAGTCAATAGAGGAAGAGACCATCGTGCTGTGTAAATCAATTCTGCTTCGCAAGCGTTACGTGGATAAAGTTGAAATAGATTTGAGTAGGAATATCTAGGAAAATGGGGGAAAATGGGGGAAAAGGAGGGAAGAAGGGCAACGCGAGGAAAGTGCGCGCATGGACGGGCTTGTTCGACGTTAAATTTTTCTCAGAATTCTGGAGAGCGAATTTTCCTTCTTCATCGAAGATAAAACGAGAGTCGACTCGAAAGTGGCGAGGAGAGCACAAGCGCCCGCGCGCGTAGTACGGCGCAGTTTTTTAAAGGGAGATGAATAAATGAGTACGACGACCTCGCAAAGTAACCCGGCAAGGTCCTGAACCAGTCGCCTACGGGCGATTTCTGTCACCGTTTCTTGCCTGTCCGCCATGCTATGCCATCAAATATTTCACGACGGAACGCGAGATACCGGTCTAGACCGACGTCTTTTGACAAATACCCGGGGAACGCGGACGTATAATCGCGTCGCTTTATGTTTCGCGCGCACGTGCAACGAACCATTAAAATACGGACGACGACGGACGGACAGTCGACTTCCTTCCGCCCATTCCTTTCTTACACTCGCTCTCGTTTCCCTCTTTTTTAATGAAAGACAAAAACGGAAATGTGGGTGATTCTCGTTTCGCAACTTCGTTTCCGTCGTAGTCGTAGCAACGACACTTCGGTTTCTTTTTATCGTGTCCGCGATGCAATCAGTTCAGACATATTCAGGAAATCGATATTGCAGGAAGCCAATACAGGCGCACGCTTACGTTCGAACAGTTACACCAGTTCTTACCAGGTAATGTTAGTTGGTTCATTCAACAGGCTGAGAAGAGCCCTGGGCTAGTCCCGAGCCCGCGGCTTTGCCTCATTGATTTTTACCGGCTTTTCTTCAGGATGAGGTACCGCGACCGCGTGCCCGTTTTGTTCTCCCTCATGTAACGCGCGATCATATATTCCGCTCACCTCCGGTAAAAGTAATAAAAATAATTCGCGTTAAAAGAAAAAATTAAGTTGACTGATTAAATTTTTGGAAAGATGTTATTATTTCCACGTTATAAATCATCTTTCACGGATTATTACTCTCGAGTCTCGCACCAAAATAATAATACGCGTATCTCTGCGTACTCTTCGAAATATTTAAAATTTTTTCACATATATTTTGATGTGTTGTATAACTTATAGAATATATCACACCCAGCACGCATAGTTTTAGCTCGTGTTTCCATTTATTCTCTATTTCTAGGTTTTATTTTTATAATTTGCTCTCAAAAAAATATATCAATCACTTTTCTCTCGGCGCACAGTTAACCACCGAATGTCAAACTGTCAGTACGGAATGCATCACCGAGCCGAATTTGCACACACGATTCGCACGCCTGGCAATCAATCAATATATCGGAGAAAAAACATTAATAGTACTTAAAATATTTCAACGTCGTCTTTTTGGATTTTGGGTCCGACAAATTTGAAAAAATTTACATTTTATGTCTTACATGTGTTTTTCAACAGAACTGTCTAAAGGAATAATCCGAAAGTATAAAAAGTCGTTAGATGAATATTGATATGATATTAGTAAGTTAATAAAAAATATTCATAAGTAATTCATAAATCATAAGACTATATTTATAACATTTGCATACTTTATATAAATACACACACACATTTATATTTAAAATAAGATTATTATAATCTCATAAATTCAAAAATTTTTGTTTTTAAAAAAAACTTTTCCATTATTACTCGTACAAATTGATAAATTATCTCTTATTGTAATCGATATATGTTATAAAAAAACGTGTCTTAAATGTTAATCTTCTCTCACACATTTTAGTGACAATCGCACAAGCAAACTCTATGATATTTAGAATTTCATTGAACTTACGAATAAATGTAACACAAAATAATATCAAGAACTTCACGTATTACGGATTTACCGCACTTACATTTATTTTCCATTTGACCGTCACATTGAGTTCTCGCGAAATCGTGGTTAACAATTTATACTTATCCGTTCGGTGTGAGACGCAAACATGTCGCGGGACATGCACTTCGACGAAGCAAGCAGAAGGATAGAAGCTAACCATTTTAAGGAGTTAAATAAATAAGGACGCCGACTCCTCATCGTCTGGTCGAGAATAGCCTTCGGCTAGTCTCGTTTCAGCAGCGGTTTCTGCCCATTGATTTTTGTCCGTTTTTCCTCGCGAGTAAAACGACACGCCATTACACCACTATGGCAATTACGCGACTACGTTAAGCATTTACTACGTCGGCTTTATTATCACAGCCAACGTCGAGGCTATGCGCGCGCGCACGCGGCAGCTTTCGCTTTGCACACACGTACAACTGTAACGAGCAGTGCGGGAGCAGAGGGGCATTATAAATTCATACTTCCAATATTGTCGCGCCATGCTAGATTTTATTCTGAGCATTAATCATTAATTTACGGAATTACAAATACAAATGTTAGTCTTTCCGCGTGAGAGAAAGAGATGGAGAGATATATATTCCAGCACGCTTTTCCTCCGCAAACCGCGATACATCTCATCGATCTGCTCGCTTGTGTTTTGTTGATCCTATCTTATTTGTATCAGATCAAGCCGTCCGATTTACGAGCCGGGTTACAAATTTTCTATGCGCAAACAAACGAATAACGAATTCACGAAGAATGGAAATTCCGGAAGTTTCTGTATTTCTATTCTTGCGCGTAGGAAAACGCGATTTACTGGTGCCGCTTTCGACACAGTCCAAGTTTATGAAGCTATAACTCTCGACTATAAGTCCGAAAGTTGTTGCACACAATGTTAAGACAAAAAGAAAAGTGTATTGTGGAAAAAAACATTTTTCCAAAAAACGAGAATTTGTTTTTTTATTTATAAAAGTGTTATACGTTTCCGCTGTGTGTATGTACATATTTGAGAAACTTGTTGGAATTAGTTGTGTGCGCCGCGTTACTATATATACACGCTCGTTCAGACATCGCTGCAAAAGAATTAATTAACTCACGAAATAAAAACAAAAAACAAAAAAAAAAGCAAATTATGCATATTGCTGGGTGTCAGCCGTATGAAAGTTTCCATTTAAAAGTTAATTTACTTGAAACTGCCACTTGGCAGGTAATTTTTGCATAACACGGTCCTTGTAATCCGTTACAAATACTTGGTAAAAGTTGCAATCACTTCGTCGGACGAATAATATGTAAATTTATATCTATATCTATAACATCAAATAACACACCTTCGCCCATACGTGGTGGCACGTATAGAGGGTAGCGCGCACAGCGAAGAGCTAGAATTTTCAATGCTAATTTCGAACGTAACCTGGTTGTTCAGCGGTCGTTGCCTCGTCGACAAAACCGTACTCCGGGACATTGTGCAAATGCAGGTGACCTCTGTCCGCGTTCGATTAAGAAGCAAAACAACGGTCCAAACATTGGCTTTGTATTCCTGATTAACGTTCCGATCCCCCTCACGCGAATCGCGTGCGCGCGCGCGCGCTCTCGTGTATTAATATATACGGCAC